TTATGGAAATTTGGAAAGCAAACAGTGTTTAGTCTCCTGCATCTCACCTAAGACATCCTGTAACCAGGTACAGGACAAACAGACGTAGCCAGGATGCTAAGGCTGATGGTCTCAACATCAGTACTAAGAAAAGGCAGCAAATCAACATAACGCCACACAGGTCTGACTAACAGTGGTGAACAGCTGGAACGTGCTGAAGGTTTCATGTATTTTGGCAGCCCAATCAGAGCAGAGTTTGACGTCCACGCGGATATTTAGCAGAGACGGACCAAAGCGCGTCATCTGAGAACAACACAGGTCATGCAGAAACTTTCTGATGCCGGCACATTTCACAGAAAGACGTCAGAGCAAGAAGTGGGTGAAGACACCAAAGGGTGTGTTTGTTTTGTATTCTGAGCTGGTCAGGTGTAAGCAGCATCATGAGCCCAGGACGGGTGGAGTCAAAGTTCCTTCCTATCTGTCACAATGAAGAAAACTAGCTGCAGGGTCACATCACCATGTGGGACTGATGGAAAGATCTCCCGTTCACCTGCATTTGGACTCCAGGACCATCTTCAAGCTGTGATTCCTTCAGTGTCAGTAATTATATAACAGAGTCACATTTGAAGCCTCGTGACTGCAGCTCATGGCTGTGAAGTTCAGTGCAATTCAACCCTCTGTCAGGATCAGAGGATGCTCTCCACTCAGTTTGTTGCTTCATTTCCTGATGAAGATGAAGGTGTTTTTGGGGCACATATCATTTTTAAATATTGAAGGTGGAATTTGAAACTCTGTTAGACGACGACAACAATTTCACTGCGTCTGTCTCTGCAGGACGGGACTGTTCGGCTGTGGGACATAGAGAACATGGAAGAAATCCCAGAGGTCATGAAGAAGAGGAACGCGGAGGGAGCGGGAATTCACATCCTCAAGGTCTGAGTCGTTCATGGATCCTGTGTCCTTTTTTCTCTGATTTAAATGTTTTAGACTCCCCACAGCTGCTGGTGGTCTGTGATGACGACACTGTGTGTGTTTGCAGTGTGAAGAGTGTGGAAAGCCATTCCCAGTGTCCAGACTGCTGACCTCAGAGCTGCTCACGCAGTGCGTCTTCTGTCGCCTCAAATCGCCACCCAGATACCGACCGCAGCCGCCACCGCTTACATGACTTCCTGTGCAGGAGGAAATGTTGTACTAAGTTTTGCAAGGTCTAGTTTTTAAACTGAAAATCGAATCTGATATTAAAATGATTTCGAGTATGAAACTCTGTAATCCTGGTTCTGATAATGCTGCTGTATAAATAAATGTGTAAGTTCTTTGAGTCTGGAGTCACACATCTGTCTGCTTCCCAGGTGTTTGGTGGCTCATATAAGCTTTACATCACCTCCACCTCCACCCACGCTGCCAAGCTCATGAATCCAGTCTGAGGTGTTTCTGGATGGACTTCATATGTTCTGCTGTGTCTGTGGGTCCTTCCCAGTCTAAAGACATGCGTGTGGTGATTCGAAGTTGCCCGCCTGTGTAAGCTCTCCAGGATGTGTCCAGCTGACCCACGTAGGTGGTTACACAGCATATCAATAAAGAGAGGTCCAAGCAAGGAAGCGAATATGATTCATTGAAGTACAGAATTCATTTTGAGATATTTGTCTCTGATGGCATTGAATCCCGGCGGGATCGGGATTGATGCAGGGACGCCGGTGGTGGAGATGAAGATGCTTGAATGGAGGAGGTTGGTTGCACAAAGGCATCTGCAAGTGAAATGGCAGATGTGCACTGAGATTTAAAGTACGTGTAAAGGTTGATTGGCCTGAAAGATGATTGGACCAGACCAGTGATGTCACAATCAGCTGACAGCATGGGAAAGTGGAAGTGATGTGATGCGTAGATTAGCCACCAAACATCTGGGTGTGTTGAACTCAGCTGAAGTGACGCCTGAAATGCATCTTTGAATTTCAGTAAGTTGTAGCTTTTTTAGATAAAGGTTAAGCGTAGTGGTGGATGATGTCATCGAGCTTTAGTTACACGCACACACTACAGGCTGTTATGTGAACAGTGACCTTTGTATTGCGACGTCTGTTTTAAACTGGACGCTGGAGAAAAGCACAACTGATTCAGATTTCATGCACAAACATACTTTATAACATTTGAAACTATTCAGTCTTTAATTTTCTACAGAAATCCGTCACAGTCCGCGACGGCGTCTGCAGTGAGGCAGAGAGCTGCTGCGAGTCTTCGCCGCATCATTCGCTTCTGAGCGCGGCGACTCCGCTGTGTTACAAAGCACCAAAGGTGAGGTCACATCAGTGACTTGATTTGCCACAAAAATGCGATTTTAGTCGAGTCGTGTGTTTCATAATCTGCGTTCGATGAGTCTGTTTTCTTTGCGCTTTTTTCCACGTACAAACTTTTCCAGCTTTGACAGACAGAAAAACATCCGTGTTTTTTCACTTGTGCTAATAAATCATCTTTGCCATCTCTCCTGGACTGGATTCGATGCTGAGATCTCGCTCTGGAGCGAAGTGTCGGACGGACTGATGTCGCCTCCAGCAGAGCAGCTGCTGATCTCCCATCATGTGATCACAGAGGAGGTTTTAAACATGGCGACCCCATCACGCGGAGCGTCCGCGCCGCGTCAGAAGGTGCTCTGTAGCAGACAGTGGCAGCCGCAGCCGGCCGGACACTCGTCCTGCCGCCGAAACCAGTCCATCATGTGACTGGTGTGTCCTCCGTGGCCGCAGCTCAGGCAGAAGTTGGAGGAGCCGCGGACGGCGACGTGACAGATGGCGCACTGGAAGGTGAGGCGCTTGCAGACAGCGCACTGCGTCCCACGAGCCTGACTGCGGCAGTGACAGCAGTACACGCCAAACTCTGCAGAGAGACGACAGAAGAAGAGCGTCAGCAACACCTGCGGACACAGAGCGTCTTCACCTGTGTGAGGTTTGTCTTCCTCAGAGCTTTAAATACTTAGCTGTGCCTCTATTCTTTGTTTACTCTCTTCACATTCTTCTAACATTACAGTTTTCCTTTATAGAAAGAAACCTGAACACGTTTCTGATTGGTCAGATGCTGCAAACCCCGCCTCTTTCGTGTGTGTAGCTAGATAAACCCTGGGTTTACTCTTCGTGTGACTCCTTAGCTTGAATGATGATGTTAGGGTAACTGAAGCTGGATAACAGAGACATGCTGGATAGTGCAAGTGAATCAGAGGTGCAGGTGAGGTCGCTGCAGTGTAAGTTAGTCTCGTCACGCGTGTTATTTCATTGTTCTAACACATCAGCGACTTCTTCCCCAGAAGACGCACCGATGCCTTTGTGAGGTTCGGGTGGGCAGGAGGCGAACTTGAGCACTTCGGCTCTCTTGTCTCGCAGACCCCAGCGGTACAAGATTTCACCGTAGCACTTCTTAAAGTCGTCAAACTGCAGTGTGTTGGCCGGGTCCAGAAGCCTGCACAGGGAGAGGAAGTGACATCAGACTGACAGCTGGGCAGAAATGATTAGGCGCAGCTGGAGGCGGAGCTATGTCACCTCTTGTTCATCACGTGCTGCTCTCGCTCGCGTTCTCGCGGGTCTGTGTAGCCCTGGTTGACATAGCGGTAGTCGTCGGGAGAGGATTCGCCCCACGGGTTGGCGTGCTCAGAGTCTCGACCTGGAAGTTAAACAAAAACAGGAGACCGTGTTGGCGGAGATGAATCCAAACATTCCCAGAGGCGGCGTGTGTGAGGAGCTGAGGAGCCTCACCTGGGTTCCAGGTGGTCGTGGTGATGGAGTCAGAGGTGCTGGAGCAGGAGCCCGAGGTGACGGAGCTGGACGTGTAGCTGGGCTGAGATAGCCAAACACACACATTACATCACTTCCTGTAGCTGATTTTACTGTAATGACCTAAACAAACCCTGTGGAGTCAGCTGGTGTGGAAGTCAAAGAGCCGAGTGGGCGCTTAAAGTTTTTATTTAAAAAATAAACTCTCATCCAAAACTAAAGCTAAAATAAATTCTTCTAAACAGGATTTCCCAAACATCACGGTACCTTCGTCCATCTTTTAAACTCAGTTTAGCTCCCTCGTTTCTAAACAGCAGCTCAGCTGTGTCCATTTCTGTCAATAAGCAGCCTTTAATCTGACTCACATAACGAGCGTGGTGCGGGGGGAACACGGAGGCCCGTGACGTATGGTGCCCGAATAGTGCGTAAGAGTCTGGAGGCGGAGCCTGAGCTTTGAACACGCCGCACAGCATGGCCAGAGTCTGAACGTCACTTATCTGACTGTAGTGATCCAGGCTGAAACACAGAGAATCAACATGTGAATCAGCTGCTCCGTCACCCAAACCGAGAGCTCAACACGGCACAGGCGTGGCGATCAGGAGCCTCAGCTTTGCTCTCAGTAACTCACAGAGTCTCCAGCAGGTGGCGTCCAAATGGGTGTCTGGCCCAAGGAGTCTCCATGTCCGGGTCAGAGTCTGGGCTCAGGTCCTGATTGGTTGCTGCAGACGCCAGAGCCCAAACCTGCACAGAGAGGCGGGTTTAGAAGAGGCGGACAGCACCTCTGGTTCAGTACTTTCTGCTCTCTTTATGTGGGGAACACTTCAGCCACAAACTAAACTCAGTTTTAACTAAACTCACTTTGCTTCCCTGTTCTGTGATTTTGTTACCTCGTCTCTAAAACCTTCCTGGCTCCACGTTTTGTATAGTTTCTACTTGTGTAGCATCAACAAAAGCATTCAAAATCTGATTCAAATGCAAGTTAAAAATAAAAAGGATGCAAGCACCAACCTTCGCCACGTCTCTGCGTCCGACAGCGAGCGCCGCTGCTGCGTTCTTCTGACACGTTTCCTGGATGTCGTTCATGTTCAGGCTGAAGAGAGAAAATAAACCTGTAACGATCAGCGCGAAACACGAACGTGAAGAATTTCTTTACATCACAACAGCCGTCATCTCGATGTTGTGAAGGCTTCTGGTGAGGGGGGGGTAAATCCATCTTTTATATACAGTCTATGCTTTGGCTTTGACTGTCTGTGTGATAGTCGGGCGATCCAAACCTTCCTGCAAAGGCTCATTTCTCTTGTTCTTGATTGATTGTTGATTAGTTAATCTGACCTTTTCAATAAATAAAATAACAGAAATAAGTCAGAGACACAGTTTTCTTTCATATGCAACTGAAAGGCATCAAATGCTCCTGTTTCAGAGGAACCAGAGGATTATTTTGGCGTTTACGCTCGGCTAAATCTGTTTAAATGAGTTTCTGTGAATCAGCTGTGATGTGACTTGAGTGGGTGAGTGTTTGTTTTACAGCCTCGTGTCTCACATGTAGTTCTCTCCCAGAGTTTTGTGGACGGGCAGCAGGCAGGAGATCTCCTGGATGATGACTTTTCCGGCAAGTTTGATTGGACGGTTGCCGTAGTCCGTCCCCTCTCGCTTCGTCTTAAAGCGGCGGGATTTCTGACAGACAGAGAGAGACAGACAGACAGATAGAGAGCCGAGAAGACACAACAGAGCACCACCTGATTAAAAGTGGGCCGGAGGACCGGGTTCTTCAAGAGCCTGTTCACACTGCGAGACGCTGACTGACCAAAGACTCCGAGCTTTGAGATAAAGTGATTGTTTGTTTTTAAAGGTACTTTTTGTAACTTTGTCCAGGGAGCTCTCCTCCCAGACCTGGATGACGGCATCAATAAGCTCCTGTCTGTAGCTCTGTTAGGCAGTGTCAGATGCACCGATACACAACGCCTACCAAAGGTCTCAGTGGGATTTATGCCTGAGGAACATGAGAGCCGGTCCATGGCATCACAGAGGATCTCTGGCCACGTCAGGTCAGGCACCAGGAGGAAATCAGCGTGCACGGGACCATCATGAGGTCTGACAGATACTGGTCCTACAGCCCCATGCAGCTCTCCTCCACCAGGCGACCCATCTCCTGGTAGCTCCCCCACACTCTTTGCTGGGAGACACAGCAAACCTGTGCTATCCTACCAGGTACCATCTCGTGCTACGAGCAGTGACGAGGATGGTTGTAAAAAGCTAAAGTAAAGAGAAATCGGTGAGGAGAGAGCGACGGTCTCATCGTGGTGTCGCCGGTGCACCTGTGGTCAATGTGATTTGAACCAAAGCAGGTCAAACGGATTCACAGTCCTATATTCTTCCTAACTGAAGTGTCCTCACTTTGTTATACTGCGATACTCGAGTCCTCCTTTGACTGTTTTGGACCACAGGAGACTTCAGAGGGGAATTCTTACACACTTTTGGTGACCTCTAAAAAAGTCAGAAAACCAGAATCGAACTCGGGCCGCTGCACTCATCTTTCAGCACCTGTGTCACCTGTGACCTACGCCAGCGCCCTTTTTCCTCTCTTAAACCAGGAAGTGAAACTCTCGACATTAAAAATCTCACCTGGAAGGTCAAAGACAGGCCGGATTAACCCAACAACATTCTTCATGGGTCATAAACTTCACCTCAGCAGTTTTCCGAGCCTTCCCGCAAAGATCCGCAGAGATGCAGGCGGTTTGTGTTTATGTGTTCACTCTGTTATTGATAAGAGGGCGATTAGTGCTGATTGATTGATCTCCATTTGATCGTCGTCCTCGGCAGCTCGCAGTGTGAACACGGTTAGCTTCCAGTTTAGTGACACACGATTATGCGGCCAAATTATTTTCAATAATAAGTTGCAGCTCTGCGCTGAGACTTACCTGGACGTGTTAAATGTTAGTGAACATTCAAAGCTTCACACTTTGATGAGCAGACAGGAAGTCGGGCAGCAGGGTTATTGCAGCACCGTTACATGATTTAAGTTCAGTTATGTGCTCAGAATTATCGGTCATGCTAACGCTGCAAATTAACCTAAAATCACTGCGCTTTCATCCCACGCTACCTGAGGGAAGTTGCCTTTGCTGTGAACCTTTGGAGTTGCTGCTCAGTACAAGAAGCAAGAGGAAGTCTGTCTTTTATTTTGAAAAATAAAACAACCTAAATTCTTCGAGCACCAAAGCCCTGCAGCATCCAATCCAAGTGCAGCAAAGTAACCCCAGCTGCTCAAACGCCACCATCCTGATGTCTTTACATCAGCTTTGCCCAGAGAGCTTCTACCTCTGTGAGCCGCTGCTGAGGCCCGTGTCCAGAAACACGTCTGCGTCCACGCCACAGTTACACAGATTCTTCCTTCACCCGCGCTCCACCTCTGCACCGCCTTTATCAAACCCTCGCTGACAGACGAACAGCACTCTGCTGTAAACTTACTAACTATGACAGACATGTTTTTTTAGCACTTTAAAAATGTACAAAACACATTTTTCAAACCTTTGAGTTAAAAATTCTTCAGATTGTGACACTTGCAGTTTTTCACAGAGCGTAAATCAGCCCTGAGAGTTTCTCATGACACACTTAAATCCAGAACACATAATTTAATATTGTTAAGGAAGCAGAATCAGGATGTGTTAGTCGAGGCGGCTGCAGCCAATCAGTGACATGCAAAAAAACCAAAGTTAAACCCGAACGCTGAGGAAAAGCCCAGAGCGAGGAGAGGAGAGGACGGAGATCAGGAAACGGGGATGGGTGCTCGGATGGAGGAGCTCAGTACCGGCCAATCGTGGAGGGTTTGGACAGACCAGCGGCGGGAGGCAGAGAGTGGGAGCTTCGGATTGGAGGAGAGTAAGGAGGAGGAGTGGCCCACAGCGGCATGGGGGAAGGGGAGCGGGTGATTGGCCGCAGAGAAACAGGAACACAGGAATAAAAAAACAAAACAAACAGAAACTGATCAGAGAGGACGGGACAGGAAACAGCAGCAGCGTTCAGCTCGACAGAGGCGAGCGGCGAGGGTTCTACTTCCTGTCAGGGTCCAGAGTGACTGACGCAGAGATTGTTTTAAAAACTAATTCTTTTGGAAATGACAACATCAGCGTTCCCTTCCATATCGAAGCCTATCAGATATCACGCCCTGATTCGTCACATGACCTTTTCCAAGAAGAAAACAAATACACAGGCTTTAACTGCCAGCGGTTGATTCAGCGCGGATACACAGCTGCCGCTAAGCTAGCCAGAGCTTCCACCAGTTCACTGCGGCCCCCCGCTGGGCCCAAGCGCCAAGGATGTGTATGTTTATTTCAGCTCACGTAGCTTTTCAGCCATTTTCACACAAAGAAACAATTAAAAACACCAGGCAGATGTTATGGCTGTTCAGCTGATAGCCACCAGCTTATTTTCCACTGTTCTGATTTTAATGGCCAACAGGGGGCGCTACTCTGATGATGCAAAAAGACTTCAAAGCCATACAGACAACAGGAAACAGCCTTCGACTCCGTGCTCTGATGATGATTTCATTGTCTGTAATACTGAGTAAAACACAAATTATTCATCAAGAGAGAGGATTACACAGCCGTCAGCCAATCAGTGTGCACGGTGCGATCAATCACGAGCTGTTACCCAATCAGTGTGCGGTGTTCTTGGGTTGTCACTCAGATCCACCCGTCTTCCGTCAAACGCTCAGCTCGAGCCATCCAGAACAGGCTTCACCAAACAACCGGTTTCCATCTTTTATACGATGAACAGTTTCACTTTTATAAGTTGTGCATATAAAAGGCTAAAGCAGCCACAGGTCTAACAGGTCCTCTGACACAAACACTAGAAGCTGCTGCACAGTTAAACTCTGCAGGTCAAGTTCCAACCGCCTACAAACAACAACGCCCAGTGTACGGGGACGGTCATGTGATATTTGTTTCTATGCATGTCGGCTCACTCTTTACTCTGGGCTCATCTAAAAGGGAACTCCTTTCTGGATTATCTGCAACCTTAAAAATAAATCGGTGTTTGATTTGAGTGTAGCAGCCAGAACAGTAGACGAATCTTAACACAGTTTTATGACTGAGACCCCGAGAGACTCCCGGGAGAACTAGAGGCTAAACTAAAGGGACCTGTGTGTGTGTGTGTGTGTGTGTGTGTGTGTGTGTGTGTGTGTGTGTGTGTGTGTG